GGTAATTTTGTATTGCATGAAAATCATATCCGTGTTGGATTTGTTTTAAAATCATGAGGGGAACCTAGGGTTGGTTGTTTGAGAATGGTTTTGTTATCATTGACTGTGGTTTGGACTAATTAGAGAATAAAATTAGCATGTTATTATTGAAAGAAGAGACAGCCCTAAATTATATTTTGATTTGGTAAAATAAAAAGGGTTTGTGGTTGAACAATGTTGGTAAATTTCTATTGTTAATATGAGTTGTGTAGAAGGTGTTAACAGTTAAAGGATTAATTATGGTATTGGAGTTATTTTGAAATGAACGTATTGAATCAAGTTGGGTTATGGCTTATTATCCATGGAATTGATTTTGTAAAATGAAAAGAATGTAATTGGTTTTGTGAAAAGGGAAAAGTGTTTTTAGAATAAGTGATGGAACGTGTTGACTTGAAAAATTATGAAAGTTGATCTTGAAAATGGTAAATGAAATGTTAACTCTATGTGAGTCTCAGAAAATAAATTTCAGAATTGAACTATTGTATCATGAGTGTTGAATACACACATTTGGGGGTTTTATCTTTACCTATCGTACTAGTGTCGTTGTTGGGTTTAAGGATTGCTTAAGAGTTGAGTCTCTTTTATTAGGTGTACTGAATACATGCATCTAGAGGTTTTGTCCTTGGTCATCGGTGGAGGATGACATTGTTGTGTTGAATTGTGATGTATGCATTACACTTGTGTTGGGTAAACATTATTGAATAGTTTATGTGTATGTATTACACTTGTTATTTATGCTTTGTTGTATTGAGGAATTTGTACATGATAATCGCTTATATACATTAAGAGTAGAGAATCGTGCTATAGACAATGGTTTAGCAAAAATATCGGCTAACTGATCAGAAGTTAGAATGTATTTAAGATGAAACTTATGTGTTGTAACCTTCTCACGAACAAAGTGACAATCTACTTTGATATATTTAATCGACTATGGAAGACCATATTAGTTGCCAACGATAGGGTAAAAAGGTTATCACACCAAATAGCTGGAGCAGAAGGTTGTGGAATGGAAAAGTTTTGAAGCAACAGTTGCAACTAAGTGACCTCAGCCAGTATGAGCTAAAGACCGACATTCAGCTTCAGTGGAAGAGCAGCTTACTGTGGCCTATTTCTTAAAGGACCAAGAATTTAGATTTGAGCCCAGGAAAATACAATAGCTAGAAGTGGATTTCCTATTAGAAGGATCTCCAACCCAATTTGAATCAGTGTAGGCTTGGAGTTGAAAAGAACTAGGAGAAAACAAAAGACCATAGGTGAGAGAACCTTGACATATCTCAAAATTCTCTTCACTGCTGCAAAATGACCCACAATAGGAGCATGCATGTATTGGTATGCCTGATTGACTACAAAACATAGTTCAAGTCTAGTGATAGTAAGATATTGGAGAGCTCCAACAATGCTTCTATACAAGAATGGCTAAGTACAGGGAAGAGAATTTTCATGAGCAAAGAGAGGCTTCATGAAGACAAGAGTAGCACATGACTTACAATCAATCATGCCAGCTTTGGCAAGCAAATCAGTAGCATACTTGTCTTTAGAGAGAGAAAAACCAGTAAGAGTATGTTGGACGGAGATGTCAAGAACATAAGAAATATTGCCAAGCTCTTTCATGGAAAATGCAAGATGCATATAAGACAAAAGCTGCTGGATGTACAAGGGGTTAGTTCAAGTGAGCAAAATGTCATCAACGTAAATAAGAAAATAGGTGAGAGAAGTATAAGTCTTGTGCTCAAACAAAGAGTTATCACTACTGGACTATATGTTCATCCCACGTTGTTGAATCTTTTTCAGGTGATAGCCAGGATGTTCTACAAGGTTTTGGATCTTCTTATTTGTTGGCCACGGGGCCTCTTTTGTGTTGGTGGAATGCCATTTATGTAAAAGGGTTATACCCTTCTTCTTGACATTTTAATGATGTAAGCCCAAGGGCAATTTATTTAGTGTACTCATGTTGTATTTACTTGCATACGAATGAGAGCAATGTTATTCACTTCTACAAGTTGAATATACGAGTTTATTTCCGCATGTTATCTCTGAAATGGAATTAAGTAAATGAAATTGGTAATACTTTGAGTAATAAAAAGTGGGGCGTGACAGGTGGAGGATAGCTATGATTGTTGTAGAAATTGCATGAAGATTGGGCGATTTAATGCTAATCAAATGTTGGTTGTCATTGCATATGACTATGTTTATAAATGCATTGTATATGTATGTTTATTTGGGAGGAGAAATGGGATGGACTCCACTGAAAGCAAGTTGGCTGGAGTGTCCTGGGTGAAAGACCTGAAAATCATATATATACATGGGTGCCGATTCCCGCAGATGAAATATCCGTAAAATGGCATATTTGAGAAAACATACATGCGTGCCGATTCCCCCGGACGAAATATCCGTAAAATGGCATATTTGAGAAAATATACATGGGTGCTGATTCCTTCGGACAAAATATCCGTAAAATGGCATATTTGAAGTGTTTATGTGTGTTTTTCATAATTGGAAACCATTGAGTTGTAGTCTCATTTGGTTGTTAAAAGATAATGAATTTAACTCATGAATTGAGTAGTGTATATGAACTGGAAATGAATAGATGGAGCATGGAATAAGATTGGCCTCAGTGGCATATGGATATGTAGGCCTTTTGGATGCTTCCATATCGGTATTGTTTAGATACGTGGTATTTATACCTTTGCTAAACTTCATAAATTGTGTTAGATTATTTCTATTGGGCTGTTAGCTCACCCTATATGGGAATATCATTTTCAGGTGCAGGTGAGGTGTTACCTCCAAGGCAATAGCATGGATCGACTCTCGAGAAGCAAGAGTTTCCTATTTATGCTTTATGTGTGCATGTTTGTTATTTGTAAGGCCAAGGGCTTAAGATGTAATGAGTGAGACTCAATTTGTGTAACCAAGCAATGTCTTGGAAAGATGAAAGCCTACAAGGCATTTAATTGTTTGTTAAACAGTGAACTCTGATATATGAAAGTATGTTGTTTCTCATAGTTATTCCGCATATGAGTTATCCTTATTGTAATATTTTGGGGGCGTTACATTAGAAGTTACTTCATTGACCAAAATTTCCATTGCACAATAATTTGAAGTCTTTTATACTCTTTGAGATAACTAATTGCTTAATTCTAATTTCGATTGTTCCATTACATTCTGAAGTAATTGTTGCTGCTGATCAATTGATTGAATGTTTGGTGTACAGCGAAGAACCAACGGAACCATTCTACTATTTCCAATTGGACCCACCAACAAGAGAAGTGAAGCTTGAGTGATGCTCGTCTCCAAATGCCATATATTTGCTTTTAGGTTGGACCCTTGTGTCCTCTAAATTTCAAGTTTTGTTATCGTTGCCTGATACGCTAATATGGCATATATTTTGGCTTTCAAGTTCAAAATAATATGATTTTTCATGTTCAAAATAATATGATTTTTCATGTTGTGGTGGAAAAGCATTCTAAGTAAACTAGTCGATTGATGACACTTTTAATTCTTCCTTTGATAAGCAGCACTTGTGACCATTCAAATTCCCTCAAGCTCCCTTACATTTTCTCCCCTAACAAGTCAGTGTGTCTTTTACAATCCCACTTATTTTCAGAAGATGCATCATGTCCTCAACTGAAACACATATAGGGTTGTAAATGAGCTGAGTCGAGCTAAGTAGTAGGTTATTAAAGCTTGATTTAAAAACTTAACGAGCTTCCAAAATGTGTTCAAGCTTGGCATGTTTACCTTTCAAGCCAATTTCGAACAAGTTTTGATTGAGCTGATAATGAATAGAACTCAAGTAGCTTGATTTTTATAATATATAAGCCTATTGAGCTCAGTAATAGGTTGAATGAAATAGAGTTATTCTTACATGCAAATGTGGGCTCCTGAGCCTCTTATCATCCACTTCATTATATTCAAATGAAACAACTCTGAATATTCACTGGGAACAGGCAATTAATACAAACCTAGTGAACCGGTTGATTTCAATCTTCTTACTTAGGATCCAGAAATTTCCTAGTCTACTTACAAACCAAATACGTTTAATCCCAAGCAACATCTAGAAATCGATGATGGGTTCTCCGATTGTGAGGTTTCGCTCAGGTGCCTATGGTAGGTTGAACAGCTTTGCCGTGATGAACTTGAAGTTCTTGTTCACATTTATGTTGTAGGTTGCACTTGAAAAGAAAAGTGTTGCATTCAGAGCCCTTGCATATGCTCTTGCCTATTAACAACCATACACATGTTAAATAGTTTCTGATATTGGATTTAGGGTTTAACGGGGAACAACGATCCGCTGTTCTTCTCAAAATAGATTATTGGAAACATTTGGTATCGCTCTTATTTTTTTGGGAGTTGATTTTGAAAACTTGTGTTTTTTTGAAAATTATATTTTGGAAACATATCTGTTTTAGGAAACACTTATAAACTGTTTCATGAATTTTTTAAAATTGTTTCTACACAAAAAAGAAAATCAAAACTGTTTTTGAAACTTTTCACTATTTTTGTTTCTAAAAATACGAAACTGATTCTTTTTGAAAACAATATCGAACAAGCCATGTTTGCCACTTAATCAATGTGTTCCAAGAGTGAAAAAGATGTTTCTTACTGAAGAATTGACTAAGATGTCTCCGTCCCTTCAATCCCTTTCTATGACTATACTTAAAAGAAGAATAATCAAATTTGATCTGTATTTTTTCGAGCTAGAAATCATTAAATGTATATGACCCAGTAAATCATGCGTGCCATAATGTCCCTGTTCTCTCTCCCTTTTTTTCTTTTTCTAATCATTCTAGTTTTAATTTTGTTTGTTCTTCTATCATATGAAAATTAATTACAGCAAATTTCCCAGTTAATTGATCCATGCTTCTCACCAGCTTGGTCCACATTTTGACACAGAATATTCGCAAATAGATAAGATTTTAGAGATTGTTAATTTAGTCATATATATTTTGTGTCTGAATCAGTTATATGCATATTGTTGCATGATTAGAAGAGATCAAATATATTACCTGACTTGCAATTGTCCACTGAACATCTATCGGTAATTGTACAAAATCGTCGAATTTGGTCCCTATGAGTACTGGAATTGCCGTCTACAACAATTACAAAAACTTCAGGTAATATGAATTAGAGACAAGGTCATGGGTCATTATATTTAAATTTATGTGTCCTCCAGATCTGATGCATTTTGTTTTAATTATACAATTATGTCTCAAAATTTATATATCTTCAGATTCTTACTACATCATGTAATACTATCTCAATTAATACACATTCAATTGAACCCAACGATTGTCTTGAAATTCCCACTACATCATCCATCAAGGAATATAATTGAGACAAAAGAATAAAGAGGTTATGAATGAAAATGATTTCTGAACATAAAGTTTATACAAAAAATATATCTAAAATGATTGTTAAGGACATTTTTTTAAAATATGAGGGCAATGATGAGTGTTTTGATTAAAAATTAACAGATCATAAGAAACAACATCATTCTTCATAAACATGGGTTTGTAGATCATTACTTTTTGGGAATATATTAATACTAAAAAACAGAGAGATTTGGGTAAAAAGATAGAAAAATTACCACTCAGTAGTACTTTTAGACAGTTATTATAGATTTGAAAAAAAAAATTATTATAACTTTAATTATTAATAGTTGTAAAACTTATCACTTATCGATAATTATTTTATTATAATGTATACTAAATTGAAATTTTCCCTAAAAAGATCCCATGAGGTGGTGAAGCAGAGCATGGGTACTTGATTCCATTTCCTTGATTCTTGATACCTTCCAACGATACTGCAAACCCAGAGAGAGTTAAGTAGTAATCTCATGACTTTACTTTATTATTCAAACCTAAATAACAACTACAATTTTATAATCATGATTCATAATGTATGAAAACCTTGGGCATTTTGAAACGTTATACCTGTTTGAAGTACATCGACTTGTTAGATCAAGCAGGAGTAACATTACTATCGAGTCTTTACAAGCACTTGGAATGTGATTCTGGGATGTTTCATCTCCTTGTACACCATTCAAAATTATAGTTGATCAGTACATATATATACATACATTGCTATTTCAATCAATAAAAAGTCTAGCGATGAGACAGAATCAATCAACATCAGATGTAAGGCTCATCAATAGAGATACGATTTTATTCAGATCGTTCCCTTCATATTTTTTACGATTAGTTCTATAGCGATCCCGGGTTTACCCTTGTTGTACAGTGATCCGGACATGTGTCCGTGGATGTTGGTAGTTGTTTATTATCTTGTTCTACATCCTTTTTACTTAGTATTTGAGCTATGGGATGTGTTGGGCAGGTTCGTTTCAGGTTGGTTGAGTTTAAAGGCCAAAACTAGTTGCCCAGATTTTGGCCTGTACGCTCGAGCGGAGGTGTTGGCGCTCGAGCGGGGAATACACCCATCCAGTATTTGTTGTGCAGTGTTGTACGCTCGAGCGTAGGGTTGGCAGCTCGAGCGTAGGTCTGTTTCTGCAAAAGTGCTGAGCGAGTGCATTCTGCGCTCGAGCGGGAGGTTGGCCGCTCGAGCGTAAGTCTGTGAGTGGCCGCTCGAGCGGGGTGTTTTACGCTCGAGCGGGAGACTGGGTTAAAGTCCCGAAATTGTGACTTTTCAAATCACTTTTTGCTTTCTCTTCTCTCTCTTACTTTTCTAAAAATCACCATTGTTGAGCCTCTCACTCTAGACTCTACCAAGATGACATCGGCTCAAAACAAGGATCCAACAACGGGATGGAAAAACATCGGC